TCAATCAAAGCTTTTTGATCTTCTGTTTATTCAGCTCCAGCAATAGTATGATGCCCAAAGGGATTTCCTGGAATGATGTGTGTTGTCTACATCTGCGGCGGGGCATATGTGGTATGTGTGTGAGACGCCCTCTGGTGTTCACATGGAGCAGCATTTACTACTGAACTCAGAGCCGTACTTCCCTGACAAGCTGCACATACATTTTTTTTTTTTTTTTTTTACGCAGTCTTTGCGTCGCGTGTGGTTTTATTTCGATAAATCGTGCAGCCCTAGTTGAAACAGAATTCAAGTGTGTGTCGACTGTTCTTCGGGAAGAAGCCTCTCCTCCAGTTTCGGTGTGACAGCGAGAGAACAGCGGTGGTCGCGAGCTACTTACAGATCTCAACTGCTGTTTTCACAGCATTGTGTTGGTTGGTAAGTGGGCGCCTTCAGCGAGGTTACTGTTTTTCTAAACAGTGAGTGAGTGCTTTACTGAGCACCATCCCCTGGCAGTGTTGCCGTGGCCATTTCCCCTGTGTGTTTCGGCACTGAGAGAGCTAATTCCTGAAAGAGCAAACACGGGGGTGACTGCATCTTTTTCAAGATGTCATATCACCAGTGTTTCTGGATGCAGTCGTTCCCTGGCACAGGCTGACGGTCATGAACACTGCATCATGTGTCTGGGCATTCATTGCGGGAACATGACCACCTCTGTGCTATGGTCGAGAGAGACTACTACACCTCAAACGAGGTGGAGTCCCCTTACCTATGCCTCGATCTAGTGCCCTATTGGCCAACCCCAAAAGAGGGCAAGTTCGACGACTAGCCAGGGTGATCTGAGGATCACAGTGAGGGCTTCCCTGCCCGGTACCCAATCCCTGTGGGTCCCTCACTCCTCTCAAACACAGCAAGCCGTGGAGCTTCCGGTGAATCGTGCTGGCTCCTCTCATGACCAGCCAGTCGTTTCATTCGGGCTGCCCCTGCTGACCAGATGTCTATCGCAGCATCGGAGGGTGAGCTTGAGTCTGGAGATGAAGACTCAGCTGCGCTGTCTCCTTCTGGGAGAGTTGTGTAGCCCGAGCCGGATCCAGAATTGATGGCTATGCTTTCCCAGGCAGCCGAGAGAGTTGGGCTCGAGTGGAACCCTCCACCGTGTCCCGAACCCTCAAGGCTGGATAATATGTATCTCGGGGCGGGCCATGCTGGTCCTGAGCGTGCAGCCCCAGTGCCTTTCTTTCCAGAAGTGCATGAGTAGGTTACCAGGACAGCTTTTTCTGCCCAAAACAGATCTCCCCCTCACTACTCTTGACAGTAGTTCGGCCCAAGGGCACGTGGATAATCCTCCGGTTGAGTGGTCAGTCGCGATGCAAATGTATCCAGCGACTGCTAACTCCTGGAAGGGTGATCCGCGTCTCCCATCATATGCCTGTAAGTTCACGTCCGCTCTCACGGGCAAGGCTTATAGAGCCTGTGGACAGGCTGCCTCCTCCCTGCATGCCATGGTGTAGCTACAGGTCCATCAGGCCAAAGCACTCATGGACATGCACGAGTGTAGCCCTGACCGAGAGCTCACGGAGGAACTCCGTACAGCAACTGACTTTCGCCCTCCGAGCAACGAAGGTTGCCGCATGTTCAGTCGGTCGGGTCCAGGGTCCAGGAACACCATCTCTGGCTGAACCAGACTCTGGCTCCTCTGCAGCAGCTTCAGCACTGGCTTCACGACCGAGTGTGACAATCACCCCGGCCTGCCACCAAACCCTCAGCCCGTGGTCAGACCCTTCATTTCTACGAGCTTGAGTAGCCCTAGACCAAGTGTCCAGGCATGCTGTGGTCACCATGCAGTGTTGCACAACTATTTACACAAATATATCTTTCTTAGTACGAGCTATGAAGGACTCTTGTGAAGGAAAGAAACTGTGTTGTGATCAAAATAGTGCGTGCGGGAGCAAAACAGTTTTGTATAAATCATATATATAAGGATAAAATAAAAATATGTATTATATTATAAATATTAAACTGCGCATGTGCTTTCTCTCTCATATGCTTTTTGGCCCACTGGATAGTGGATGCCATCGTCTTGGCGTACCAATCCCAAGATGCACCGTTCCCCCTCAGGTTGCGAGCCCACTCCACCCGGAGTGTCGCTTCTTCTTGGGCGCTGGCACACGGCGCCTCGCTGACAGATATCTGTAGAGCTGCGGGCTGGGCGACACCAAACACTTTCGCTAGGTTTTATAGCCTTCGTGTCGAGCTGGTATCCTCCAGTGTGCTTGCTTCCCATAGCCAGTAAACACCCTAGGTCCCGCTCAAAGAGTCGGCTTGCTGCACCATTGCCCTCCTATGGACCGGATACATGGGACATTTCTGCTCCGGGTGAGTTCCCCGTTAGCCAAACCCTGTCGAGTTCCCCCACACCCCTCAGCAGGCCTAACACTCGTATGCATTGGTGGAACCTGTGCTAGGGTGGGTCCCACATGTTGTGATCCCTACGATGATCCCATATGTGTATTCTTCCACGGTACGGCTTCCTGCGGTGAGCCCGTGTCTTTCCCTTGGTAGAGCCCGGGAAACAAATGGTGCTTGCATTCGCTTCCTATTTATACTCGTGCGAGATGCAAATCTCACATTCCAATGTGCATTGTCTCGTTCTGTTAACGCTCGAAGATGATAGGCTCCCTGGCGTGATCCCAGTACGTCGGTACGTCTATGGACGTCTCCGTTCTGCCACGGAATAAAAAATAAAAGAATACAAAAAAAATAATAATAATTGTAACTTTATATCTCACAAGTCTGACTTCATAAATCCAATATATTCTTCCAATTGGGAGTTAGAATTGTTATAATTATAATAAGTTATCCAATTCACAATTGCTAGAAAAGTCGGAATTGCGAGTTTGTTTCTCATATTTCGGAGAAAAAAGTAATTGTGAGATATACAGTTGCGGTTGCGAGAAAAGTCCAAATTGAATGGAAGCTTGTTTCCGTCACAGAATACAAAATAAAAAAGGTAATTGCGCTTTTTATCTCACAATTCTAACTTTTTTCTCATAGCTGCGTGATATTAAGTCGCAATTGTGTTATAAAGTCAGAATTGCATGATATAAAGTCGAAATTGCGTGTTATAAAGTAATAATTGCGAGATGTAAACTCGTAATTGTAAGATAAAAAGTCGCAATTATCTTTTAAAATGTTTTACTCTGTGGCGGAAACAAGCTTCTATAAAATTGAGAGAAAAAAAGTAATAATTGCAAGATAAAATGTCGCAATTACCTTTTTTATTTCTGTATTCTGTGGTGGAAACAAGCTTCCATAGTTTCTCACACATGACCTAGGATTACTTTGGAGTAAAAGTATGAACTATTTTTGAATTTATGTTTTTTTTCTTTTTAAGCTCGACTGACATCAGAGCTACAGTATATGACGACTCTTTAAAAAAAAACAATCTTTGTGTTCCATGGAGAAAAAAAAGATGAGGGTGAAGAAATAATGACAGCAGTGATGAAGGTTCTCTTTAAATCCTAGGAGTTTCCAATTCACTGTGATGCTCAAAACAAGTGATTTCAATCCCAGAACACATTTAGGCAAAGCATTACAGTGGGAGATCTGGTTTATGAGGCTAATAAATACTTCATATAATGTCATGCAATGCCAGTGGATAAGGCCAAACGTTTGTAAAGTTTACAGAGGGAGGCGTCTTGCACTCTGAGTCGAACGGACTTGCATGAACCTGAGAAAATGAAACAACTGCTAGTATTGTGAAGCATTCATCACCTCTGCTGACACAGTTTAATCTACTTTTATCGGCCCTGGACGCCTTTTCAGTCACACAGACAGAGCCATAATCACACACGGGTAGAAATTACAGGTTGTCTGTACTTATAACACTACAAATGTTCTCTGTGACACAATATATGATGTCGATAATATGCTCGCCAGCATGCAGTATGTATATCTTTGCTCGAGTAAATCCTAGATCGGGTACGGTACAGGCATCTGTTCAACATCGCTCTCCGACACGACTGCACAAACACCGGCGTTCTCAGGGACTGATGAGTGCTGGATCAGATCTGGCCATATTTCACCCCAAAATCACATCTGACATGTTTCAAGGAGAATTACATTCACTGTAAATGTACTGCATAATGATTCGGTAACACTTTACAATACGGCTCATTAGTTAACATTAGTTAACTACCTTAGTTAACACGAACTAAGAATTAACAATACCTCTAAAGCATTTATTAATCTTAGTTAATATTAATTTCAACATTTACTTATACATTATTAAAATCAAAGGTTGTATTAGTTAACATTAGTCAATGCACTGTGAACTAACATGAACAAACAATGAACAGTTGTATTTGTATTAACTAACATTAACAAAGATTAACTAATACAGTTACAAATGTATTGCTCATTGTTAGTTCATGTTGCTTAATACACTAACTAATGTTAACTAATGAATCTTATTGTAAAGTGTTACCAATGTTAGATGATAGCATGTATGCATAAACACTTCACCAAAGTAATGAGAATCGATGATGAAAACAACACAAAAAATAAAATAAGGCGAAATATCTTTAATATTCTTTCTTTGGATTTTAGAGTAAAATATGGCCCAGGTATTGCGTGTCAGCTCACAGAACGTTGCATGCTGGGTATGTGGAGAATATCAGCTGATCTCGCATGAGCCAGTGAACTTCTCCTCACTCCATAATACTGTAGTTAGAGATGTTTAGCCAGTCGGAGCAGCAGACGTCCTCATGCTACTCGGAAACACAAGGTCCGAATCTCCAGAATGGAATTTCACGGATGATTTCAATCGCATCCTAAATGATGGCTTTTCTCGCAACTACAAATTTATATCTCGCAATTATTACTTTTTTCTTAGAAATGTGAGATAAAACCTTGCAAATTGTGATTTATAAAGTCCGAATTGTGAGATATAAAATTTGCAATTCTGACTTTTCTCGCAATTGGGAGTTAAAATTGTTCTAATTAGAATAAGTTATACAATTCACAATTGCGAGGAATGTCAGAATTGCGAATTTGATTCTCATATTTCGGAGAAAAAAGTAACAATTGCGAGATATAAATTTGCGGTTGCGAGAAAAGTCAGAATTGTATGGAAGCCTGTTTCCGCCACAGGATAAAAAAGGTAACTGCGACTTTTTATCTCACAATTCTGACTTTTTTTTCACAATTACGTGATATATATCACGCAATTGTGACTTTGTATTTGCAATTCTGACTTTATATCACACAATTGTGAGAAAAAAAGTCAGAATTGTGACTTTATATCACGCAAATCTGACTTCATATCTCGCTTCACTCTTCGCTCCATAATACTGTAGTTACAGATGTTTAGCCAGTCGGAGCAGCAGACGTCCTCATGCTACTCGGAAACACAAGGTCCAAATCCTCCAGAATGGATTTTCACACATCCATGGCTGATTTTGAATCGACTCCTCGGGGACAGATGAAGCTCGGGTCAGACGAAGCCCGGGTCAGACGAAGAGCTGAATGCGCTCGCGGATGGTCTGCCGGCAGATGGGGCAGGTCTTGAGCGCGGCGCTGCAGTCGATGCAGGAGGCGTGCCCGCACTGGAACACCAGCTTGATGTGGTTGTCGATGCAGATGGGGCAGGTGATGCGCTCCTCCATCTGCCGGTACCGAGACTGGAGCTGCTCCAGCAGGTTGTGTTGCTCTGAGTTCTCCGAGCTCGGGCTGCACTCCACCTCCGTCTGGTCTGAGAGAGGGAAGAGGGAAGAGCAGGAGTTAGTCAGGAAAGGGATAAAACACCTGGTTCCTTGCAGGACGTAAAAGCGAATGAGAACATATTCTAGAGTCTTAAATACTGCTACTGTAAAGCTATTTCCTTAAAGCCCCCCTGTGGGGAGAATCCAGCTTTTAATGTTGTTTATGGGTACATTTACATGGCAACGATACGCTTAAAATGAAAAAGTTCCCTTTAGAGGGAACTCGCACTGCGTCGTAACGACGTCTGAATCAAACTAATCCAACCGTGATTGGTGCTGCGTCATGACATAACGTGTGACGGCATTCACGAACGCTACATAGGGACGCCGGCACACAACAGAGTTAGCTTTTTGCTCTTCAGCAAGCGCTCTGTATACAACTGTCTGTCCTATTTGGTGTTGTTTGTCCTGTAGGAACTTGAATTGTTACCATAAGCACAGCTGAAAACATGTCTTCCTGCCCACGTTAAACTTCGGGAGGTGACACACGCGATGGGTGTGTGATACTGTTTGGATGCGAGGCATGCACAGTCGGCTCTTGAGGCTTGAGGCCCTATTGACTTTCTTCTCGAGGGAAGAAAGGCGACAAGTATTATGAACGGCTCGTATCTCGCGGTACAGAGGCAACGTGTAGATTATGAGATCGGTTAAATAAATTAATAATATTATCTGGCTTGAGAAGTTAGACATTTTAATTCAGCCTATCATTAGGCGCGTTTCCATTACAGATTTGCGCAAAACTTTAGAAACTTAACTTGTCGACAAAAAACGATTGCGAAATGACGGCGTTTCCATTAACTGATGTTATGCAACTAAAACGCAATTTTTTTCCTCTCGCGATAAGTCATTCCAAAAGTCATGGCGACAGATGTTGGTAGGTTTATGTATATCCCAGCCACTGCACTGGCCATTACTATTAATCGAAGGAGACGTGTGTGTGTTATCCAAGCATTAATGGTAAGGAAAGACCCTTATACTGTGAGCGGCTGGTGTTTCTCCCTCATTTCTGCTTTCAGGTCTTGATTGTGGCATTTCTTTGAAGTTTAGCATCCAGTATTCCTGTAATTCTTTTGTGTTTTATGAGTTTAATAAAAGAACTCTGTCTTGTCTTCTGTCCAAACATACCGCTCCATCTACGTCAGGTGAGTGTAAATGAGCAAAAACTGTTTCCATTGCAGTTTTGCTAAATATTTCTTTTTCGAATTGCCTGAAAAACCCCTCATGCAAGCAGAAAAACTTTTTTGCGATAAATGGAAGTTTTTGCAAAATTGATGTGTTTCCATTGGGCGTATTTTCTATTCGCAATTTCAATTTGCGCAATTTCAATTTGAAGGGTAATGGAAACGCGGCTATTCAGTTTATGGCTGGATTTAGTTCTGAGGAATTAAAAAGGTGAAATAATCATCTGACTCTTCTGGGAGCGGAGCATGGGCAGTTCTCGAGGGGGCTGCCTGCACACATTATGAGCCGAGCTCCTGGTTTGCAGCGAATGAGTGGTTGCAGCGCTCGCTTTCACACATCGAGAATCGTTTTCGACTAAACCCTGCCGTAGAGCCGCTTCAGGGGATCGAGAACGAATCTTGAATAATACCCGAAATCAGCCTTGAGAGGCTGGTTCCCTTGGTAGAATATTTCAAAGCATGGCAAAACCTGCCGAATATTTCTCCTTGGGTCATGCGTACCATTCAGAAGGGGTACAGACTCGACTTCGATTTCCGCCCACCGAATTTCAACAGGAGGGTTTGGACTGCAGTCGACCCAGAGCAGGGTCGGGTATTAAAACAGAAAGTAAACTCCCTGCTTATAAAGGAGGCCATAGAGCGTGTTCCTCCGCCGGATAGGGAGTCCGGGTTCTACAGCCGCTGCTTCATAGTTCCCAAGAGGGATGGAACCCCCCATCCCTCCCTCATGAGAATAGTGAGCATCTTGAAACTGAACCTCCTCAGAGACCGGTTCAAGTGCCTTAGATCTAGAATGGGACGCAACCCCGCGTCCCATTCTAGATCTAAGGCACTTGAACCGGTCTCTGAGGAGGTTCAGTTTCAAGATGCTCACTATTCTCATCATAGTGAGTCAAATCTAATCCGAGGATTAGTTTCTCACGATAGATCTGAAGGACGCATACTTCCACATATCCATCCTTCCATCTCAGAGAAAGTTCCTGATGTTCGCTTTCGGGGGTGAAGCGTTCCAATATCGGGTTCTTCCGTTTCGGCCTATCTCTCTCCCCTCGCACATTTACCAAATGCATGGATGCAGCTCTAGCTCCCCTGAGGAGTTTCCGGCCAGACCTCAAGGGTCACCACGTCCTTGTGAGATCAGACAATATGTCAGTGGTGTATATTACAAATCATCAGGGGGGTCTGAGATCTCGCCCTCTATCCAGACTGGCGCATCAGATCCTCCTGTGGTCCCACTCCTCTGGGTGATGGGCCTCTAGGAAGAGATCAGCTGGTCGTACAATTCCTCCATGGGGCTCGGATGATGAGACCTGCGACTCGGACCAGAGTTCCCACATGGGACCTGGCGGTGGTTCTTGCAGGGCTGGTCGAGGCCCCCTTCAAACCTTTAGAGTCGGCTGAGGCCAAGCACTTTTCTATTAGCCATCACTTCTCTAAAAAGAGTAGGAGATCTTCAGGCCCTCTCTATATCTCCTGAGTGCCTGGAGTTTGCTCCAGAATTAAGGCTATCTTGCATCCCTGGCTATGTGCCTAAGGTGCCTTCTAACACGGCACATCCAACGGTTCTGCAGGCTTTTCATCCTCAACCTCACATGATGGCGGGAGATGAGAGACTCCATCTGCTCTGCCTTGTCAGAGCTCTCAAGATTTATATTCAGAGATCCTCTCATTGGCGAAAGTCAGACCAGTTGCTGGTGTGTTTCGGGTCTCCCAAGAAGGGGCTCTACGCTTCTAAACAGACCATCAGCAACTGGATAGCTCAGGCTATTTCCCTGGCCTATCGGCTACACAGTTTGCCTTCACCTTTGGCGGTGAGTGCTCACTCAACCAGAGGCATGGCATCCTCTAGAGCCCTCCTTTCAGGGGCTCCGATCCAGGAGGTGTGTGATGCGGCTGGCTGGACCACTTCACACACATTCGCAAAGTTTTATAGTCTGGACATCCCTTCTACGTCAGGCACACTAGTGCTCTCATCCCAAGTGTGCCTATGACAGCTTCACACAGGCAGGGTTCGTTGTGGCATAGTGAGTATTCGTTCCCCAAATTGTTGTTCCGACGCAGTGCGAGTTCCCTCGAAAGGGAAAGTCTCGGATTACGACTGTAACCCTTGTTCCCTTCGCCACGCCTTCCCCTGCCTGGGAGCGACTTGCTTCATCACTGAAAGCGAATTCTGTTGAGTGCAGGCGTCCCTTTGTAGCTTCCGGATTTGCCGTCACACGTTACGTCATGACGCAGCACTAATCAGGATTGGATTAGTTTCATTCCTACTTTAGATGCGCTACGCTAAGAGCGCTCACTTCTCAGGGAACAGGGGTTACAGTCGTAAACTGAGACGTTTTCCGTGTACAGGCGACATCATTGTCAAAAAGATCCCCATTCACACGGATCCGCGAAAACAGCAAAAAACGTCTCAGGTTACGTATGTAACCCTGGTTCCCTGAGAGGGGACGAGACGCTGCGTTTGAGATGCAGTGGGAACGCTCTGCGTGATTATGTCGTGAAGCACATGTAAAATCAGTCCAATGGAAGCCCGAAAACGTTATAGGCGGGTGACGTCATAGACCAGGAAACTATAAAGCACCCCTGAATTCAGACCGCGCCAGCTTCTGAAAAAACCTGAAGCAAGTCGATCAGGGCATGCAGGAAGTATGGCAGGTAAACGCAGCGTCTCGTTCCCTCTCAGGGAACCAGGGTTACATACGCAACCTGAGACGTTCCCTTTCAAGGGAACTTCGAGCTGCGTTTGAGACGCGGTGGGAACCCCACACCCACTACGCCATAGTGACAAATGCCCGTTCTGTGTGAAGTCCTTGCGCACACTAAGAAGCAAGCAACCTCACCCCTGGAGTGGAGAGGTCAAGGTCATAAAACCTGACAAATGTATGTGGAGAGGACCAACCTGCCGCATTACAGATATCAAGAAGGGAAACACCCGAAATTAAGGCCGTAGAGGCCGCCATACTCCTTGTAGAATGGGCCCGTACAGCCATAGGTGAAGGCTGACTGGCCGCTTCATAAGCCAATGATATAGCCTCAACTATCCATTTGCTCATTACCTGTTTAGATGCAGGGCACCTTCTCTTGAGTGACCCAAAGCAGACAAACAATTGTTCAGACTTACGCCACAGGGCAGCTCTGTGAACGTAAGCATCTAATGCCCGAACTGGACATAACAGGTTCAGTTGTTCCTGATCTGGGGTATTAAAAGGTGAAGGATAAAAGGCCTGCAGCACTATTGGGCCCCCAACATTAACTGGGACCTTAGGAATATAACCCGGTCTAGGGTAGAGAAATGCTTTCACCATACCAGTTGCAAATTCCAGAAATGAGGGAGCAACCGACAGGGCATGCAGATCTCCAAATCCCTTGATAGACGAAATAGCAAGGAGAAATAAAGTTTTTAGAGTGAGGAATTTCTCTGAAACCTCTTCAATGGGCTCGAAAGGAGCCAAAGCCAGACCCTCAAGTACAATGGCCAAATCCCAAGCCGGTGCTCTAGAGTGCAGTGCAGGTCTCAACCTCAGTGTACCACGGAGAAAATGAGTAATAAGAGGATCTCTCCCGATAGAAGTACCCCCCCGAGGGGTGTGGTAGGCAGATATAGCCGCCACGTAAACCTCTAGGGTAGAAGGAGATGACCTAGCAGAGAAACGGTCTTGCAAGAAATCAAGAACTGAACCAACAGGGCAGTTAACAGGATCTAAATGACGTTCACCACACCAGGTGGAGAATAATTTCCATTTCAATGCATATAGTTTTCTCGTGGAAGGAGCTCTGGATTGGAGAATGGCCTCAATGACCTGAGTCGA